AAATATATTAAAATCAAGTGTTAACAAAGCTCTAAATTAGAATCAATTTAGTACGGACTGTTTAAGTCCTATGCCTTGAACAGACTTCGTGAAACTGTGTTCAGTTCCACGAGCGGCGACTAGACACGCGATCCCTATAGTCAAGAACAAAATCCTCAGAGATCCAACAATCAGCTCCCCAAAATACATTCCAGTGTGAAAAATTATTTCCGGGATCGCCCTTCATTTAGCACAAGAAGCTGAGATGGTTTTCGTTTGACGGAGACAGATGCAGACGACACACTCGATATTCCCAGGACTAAAGAGTAAACTACCTTTATTCTTGAAAGTGCCTGCGCAGCAAAAACCCTCGAGTTGATAAATATTAATCACCTAATTAAGAAAACCGTTACTGCTGGGGTACCCGAAATGTTGTCACCAATATCACAAAAGTAATCAAACACTATCTTGAGTCACATCCAGTTTCCATTTGTTTGTTTGTCATCAGTCTTTCGACTGGTTTGATGTGGTCCTCCCTTTTCGCCTATATTGCGCCAATCTGTTCATTTCCACGTATTTTTTACAGCCCACATCCTCAAAAATCTGCGTCACATATTCCAATATTTGTCTCCCCCCACAATTCTTGCCTTCAACTGTTCCTTCCATTACCAAATTAACCAATCCTGGGTGCCTCAGAATGTGTCCCACCATCCTATCTCTTCTTCTCGTAAGATTTTTCCATAGACTTCTTCCTTCGCCTATCCCGTCTAAGACCAGCTCATTTCGTACTTCATCAGTCCACTTAATTGTCGACATCCTTCTACAGCACCACATTTCAAATGCTTCTATCCTTTTTTCTGGCTTTCCCAATGACCATGTTTCGCTTTCGTATAGCGCTGTGCTCCAAACATATAACTTATAACAACTTATATTAACAATTAATTCCTCAAGCCTTCATTTAAATATTATCCCCAAAACTGTCTCTTCGCATGAGTACCTAAAACACACACAGGAAATTTTGACATAAGCCATTCTGGTTCGTACATAGAAACGAGAATATAATGCGTGCTCAGTAGGCGGAGGAAGCAATCTGTACCTGTTCAGATATTAAATTCCTTCCTCCAAATGCTTGTTTATCGTCCAGTGGCAGTCGAAGCAAATTCAATATATTTTGCGCGCTGTCCGTTGATGGTCAGAAATGATTATGATTTTCAATACTTGAATAAAAATGTAATTTTCTGTGGTCTTCCTTTCTGATAACGTAGTTCAGAATTTAATATCTCATAAGGTTAAAAGAAACACAAGTTGAAAAAATTAAACGACATTGACAATTTAATAAAAACCGATATTTTTGGTATCCGCAATACAGGCTTATGGTACCATCATCTTACTGTGCCCGTAAGTTGTTCAAATGACTCAATGATATTAATACAAATTGGTATGAACGTCCTGCCACTGTAGGCGACTTGAATCTTTGTGCTTTGATTTCTGACGTTAAAAGTGGCCCTGCAAACTTCGTTATCAAAGCGACACTAATATTAGTTGCTGTAGGATCATAGCGTTTTATAAAGTTTTCAAGAAACCAGCAATTTTTTTTAAATGAATGACGTACATGCTACATCTCTGCCCTTATTTCTGTAGGCGATAAATAATGAACTGGACCTAGGCATGTGCAACTCTCTATGGGAATTATAAATATTGCCTAAGAGCAAATTTTCTAAGACAACTGTTTCTGCGATTAAGCAATTACGAGTGCTTTTAAAGGCATTCCTTAAAATCTCAAAAAAATTAATGTCACAATAACTTAAAATTGGTCGCTTCCTTTCTCATTCCTTCCTATTTATCATTAGCGAACACTGTAACATTTGGCGTTATAAACGGCGCATGCAAGTAAAAGGCGTAGTTAAGTAACATGAAAATCAATCACTTTTCCACTTCATTTCCTTTCGTACTCTTAATTGCAATGTTAATTGGAAAATTGTAAATTTGAATATTCCACAATCTTTATTCCTTGCAAAGCACAACAGGAAACCGACGAGTACTTTAAGCACATTCCTAAAATAGCGTAAAGTATATTTAGACTGGTTTAGGCCTCATGTACACATATACACATTAGGCCGAAACTATGGAGCAAAAGGTAAAATTTCAAGTTGTGATATTCGCTAATTACGACAGCCAGTCTTTGACCACCAATAGCTGGAATATAAACGTCAGAAGTTCAACTACCGCCAAGAAATTGGATTATTCTGTAAGCTACCACACTCACGTCCACCCTGTAACCCAACCAGCATCCTTTTCAAAGAATATTGTTGGCCCTTTTCCCGTGGTAAGGGTGGTCGGATCTTGAAGCTGACCACTCGTCTCCATTGAATGTTGATATTAACGTATGGAGCAGTTCGTCCATTCCTCTTATTTTGTTACGCGGTGGTGTTTAATTATATATAGGGATAACATTGTCTTAATCTTTTAATTTCTGCCGCCATTCGACCGAGTATCATACCCAGACAGATAGGTGAAGGGTAGAGTCCTTCAGATTCAACTTTATCTCTGTTATGCATTGCAGTGTAAATAATTCAAATGCCAAGAGCTAAAGAAGGATCCGCGAAGCACAGAGCTTTCTGGATGTACGCAGGCAGATGGCGGACTCGCGTGTTGCGTTCAGCATTCGTGCTGCGCGCTCTCTCTCTCCCCTTTGTTCACGTGTGTAGCTCTGATTATCGTATGATGTTATATTTAAGCTCACCATTACTATTTCAGTATCTTTATCTATGAAGCTCAGAGGAGACTTTGTTCATAGTTAGCAACCCTGCAGCTAAGATTCCTATCTGGCTTCTATTCTGACATTATCTCTAACCGTATGTATTTGCACGTCTCTAAAAGCTAGAAACATCACCAGTCGGTAGATAAGTATTTATAAACCATTTTGACATTTACTAACCCTGCGTTAGAAGTATTAAAGGTCAGTTTCGGAAGTTCTAAATTTTAAATAATTGAGGTATGGAGAATGACGTAGTACTAAGTTGGGGGAAAATAGCAACAACCAGCCTCATAATTTGCTCTTTTTACTTAATATGAAAAGGTGACTGAATAACGTGGGAAGAGACGTTCAGGAAAAGTAGGTAGAAAATTATATCATCCTCTTAGCACGAAAACCTCAAGAGAGGCGTAGAGTTAGATGGGATGATGTTATTAGAATAAATGTTAGTCAAACAGGGTGTGAGGTCATAAACTGATTAAACTAGCTCAGAATAGGATACACACTTAAATCTATCGTGAAAACGGGAATAAACCTTCAGATCTCGACAAGAAAATGGCTGTCTTCTGGGTTGTTGCACCGTGTAGTCTGGTATAAGATTACAGACGTTTCAGAGGTGCTTGCATTTCCAACATCAGGGCGGCCCTAATTATGGAGGCAGAAACTCTGAAACGTCAGTAGACTTTGACTAGACTAAATGGTGCAACGACCCAGAAGACAGCAATCTTCATTTCGGAAATTGATTCTTCTTCCGCCATCACGAGACAGGTGGAGGACAGAAGCCTACTTTGTTAGACACCCTGGTTGAGCTAGTCTCAAACCTGGACGTCCAGAACATCACCTGATCACAGAAGTAGAACCTCCGAAACCTCGTTGTTTGGGGAAATATTTAGACGATGAGTAAAGCATAACAGAATAATTATAAACAGCGCGTAACACAGTCGTTAGTAGCCTTTAAAACTGGACAATTATTCTTGTTTATGAGATGGGTATTTTCAAATCGTATTAATTAATTATGCTAATTAAAAATTACTGTCTTCAGATTCTCTCCTCTAAATAAAACCAAGAACTGACAATTAGCAAAAGAAATGGCATGTAAATTAATATCATTTTAAAAAAGAAAACCTTGAGATAATTTTCTCTGCTAAATCATGAACTGCTTTTATCATGTTTTCAAAAAACCATCGAACAGAAAGTTTATAAATAGCGAACACTTGACCTCTATGCACGTGGGGAGAACGATAAGATGGACGTCATCATGAAGCGATGCTTAAATTCAGTGTCAGCATTCCTTACTTTTATCTTACCTCTGTTCGTAGGTTTGTAGTAACGAAACCACCCCAGTTAACAAAGTTCACAGAAAAAATGGTTTGCTCCGACCTCGAAATCACTATCTTTGGAATCGAGGTTGGCAGAAACATTCAAAGCACATGGCCGGCTTTCGGAATGAAATGATTATAAACAATTACCCTGCCCCACAAAAGACAGAAAAATGACAAAATGAAAGAGTAATGCAGCTGGAATGCTTTGGGAGTAACTGTTACGGGCACAGGAGCCTTTGTCACTGTAAGCTTTCAAACACCAGGAAATGCTACTTAATTGAATACGGACATTTTCATTAATCTCTTCCATTCTAGGAAACGTAAACACATTTTAGCTATCAAAAATGTTATTTGAATGAAAACTCGAGTATAAATTGAACACGCTTATGCTTTCAGAGAACTGCAATATTTTACACTTTCAATTCAAGCTGCACTGTAGGAATGTATTACAATTAATTAAAAGTTACAGACTGCGGATTTTGCAAATATCGTGTTGGATGTTCGAATTCCATCATCACCGTGGTACAGACGTACAGGTATAACTGTACGTGTGTAGCCGGCATTAGACGTCTCACTTTTGTTATACCTCTGTATTTTTACAGAATCGTCAATGAAAGTCCAGTCCCTAGTGGCACGTGCAGCTGGCAAGACACCCACTCATTAAGTATACATCAGCGTTTCTTGACCTATGGCACGCGTACCAGTGGTGTAAAACGACAGAAAACGTTTGCATACCAATAACAAGCTGGCTTTCTTTTGTGGTCTTTCATTCCGTACCACAGCGGAAAGGCCACGTCAACAAATAGTTAATCAAACCTTGACAGATAAACTCAGCTACAATAAATTTTCAGTTTAAATTAGCTTCAAGCAACATTGGGAATTACTTTGTGTTAATATACTGTTTATATTGGTTTTGTTAATGTAATAGTCGGCCCAGTTCTTACCTTTGACCCAAACAGGACTCGCAGGAGGGTTGGAATCCACATCACACTTCAAAGAGACGGGAATGCCTTCTCTCAGAGGGAATCCAAATCCAGGAACACGACTGATGGCAAACGATGGACTATCTGCAAATTGGAAAATAAAACATCGCATCATATGAACTGGAGGAAGGTATACTTATATGACAGAGCACTTCAGCTTTAGACAACTCCCCTGCTAAAGACGTGGTATCAATAAATTTCTATTGTCATTCTATAAAGTAATCATTAGGACATGAATGCACTTTTCTAAAACTAAACAATGTACACTTACCAGTCAATAAACGATAATTTTAATGAGGATTTGTAACACTTCTTTTTGAACCTTAAAACTGTGTTCTCATATTTGCTAAAAATAGCCATTACCTGAAAATAATTCCAGTCTATAACAAATCAACATCTCAAAGTACATTAAATAAATCAGATACTATTTTACACATAGACAATAAAATGTATTAGGCTTAAAAAATAAAATTATTATTAGTTTACAGTGGCAATTTCACATATTACAAGTTTTGTGAAAGATTTGAGGTTTTCACAGCGGTGAGTATGAAGATTTCTGTCTTCTGGGGTGTTGCGCTGTGTAGTCTGGTCGATGTTAACCAACGTTGCAGAGGTCATACTGCCTCCGTCATCAGGGCGATGAGAATGAAGTTTCTGTCTTCTGGGTTGTTGCGCTATGTGGCACATTCATCGTCCTGATGATGGAGGCAGTATGACCTCTGAAACGCCGGTAAACATCGACCAGACTACACAGCGCAACCACCCAGAAGACAGAAATCTTCATACTCATCGCCCTGATGATGGAGGCAGTATGACCTCTGAAACGCCGGTAAACATCGACCAGACTACACAGCGCAACCACCCAGAAGACAGAAATCTTCATACTCATCGCCCTGATGATGGAGGCAGTATGACCTCTGAAACGCCGGTAAACATCGACCAGACTACACAGCGCAACCACCCAGAAGACAGAAATCTTCATACTCATCGCCCTGATGATGGAGGCAGTATGACCTCTGAAACGCCGGTAAACATCGACCAGACTACACAGCGCAACCACCCAGAAGACAGAAATCTTCATACTCATCGCCCTGATGATGGAGGCAGTATGACCTCTGAAACGCCGGTAAACATCGACCAGACTACACAGCGCAACCACCCAGAAGACAGAAATCTTCATACTCATCGCCCTGATGATGGAGGCAGTATGACCTCTGAAACGCCGGTAAACATCGACCAGACTACACAGCGCAACCACCCAGAAGACAGAAATCTTCATACTCATCGCCCTGATGATGGAGGCAGTATGACCTCTGAAACGCCGGTAAACATCGACCAGACTACACAGCGCAACCACCCAGAAGACAGAAATCTTCATACTCATCGCCCTGATGATGGAGGCAGTATGACCTCTGAAACGCCGGTAAACATCGACCAGACTACACAGCGCAACCACCCAGAAGACAGAAATCTTCATACTCATCGCCCTGATGATGGAGGCAGTATGACCTCTGAAACGCCGGTAAACATCGACCAGACTACACAGCGCAACCACCCAGAAGACAGAAATCTTCATACTCATCGCCCTGATGATGGAGGCAGTATGACCTCTGAAACGCCGGTAAACATCGACCAGACTACACAGCGCAACCACCCAGAAGACAGAAATCTTCATACTCATCGCCCTGATGATGGAGGCAGTATGACCTCTGAAACGCCGGTAAACATCGACCAGACTACACAGCGCAACCACCCAGAAGACAGAAATCTTCATACTCATCGCCCTGATGATGGAGGCAGTATGACCTCTGAAACGCCGGTAAACATCGACCAGACTACACAGCGCAACCACCCAGAAGACAGAAATCTTCATACTCATCGCCCTGATGATGGAGGCAGTATGACCTCTGAAACGCCGGTAAACATCGACCAGACTACACAGCGCAACCACCCAGAAGACAGAAATCTTCATACTCATCGCCCTGATGATGGAGGCAGTATGACCTCTGAAACGCCGGTAAACATCGACCAGACTACACAGCGCAACAACCCAGAAGACAGAAATCTTCACCACAATTTTTGGTTGCAGGCAAATTTCTTCTTTGATTGGTTATTTCGAGACGCTGTATTGATTTTAGAAACTGTTTACCGTCAAATGAACCGACTATACGCAGTTAAAAGCGGACTGAATAGAAGCGGTTGCAGAATATTTAAAAGTATCATCATCATTTATGTCCGTGACCATTTCAGAAACAATGAAGAATATCAGGGTCTATGTTAACTGATGCGTCGATGCGGTTTGTTGTGACATGTACCGGCAACCAAGACCCATAGCGCGCTGCTCTCTCATTTGCAAGCAAGCGGCTTATTCCGACCCAGCCGTGGCACAGTACTTTCATCCGACATTGCTTTCAATTGAATTCGTGCAGTTGGACCGGGTGGAATTTACTGCAGAGAGGGGTTCAGAACCACGTGTGCAGCCCATTACACTTTGTGACCTCTAAAAATAACTGGCATCCACCAAAGTACTTGAAGTGATCCCACCAATCACAATCACAGCAATTGAAGTAGAACAAACAGACAAGCCACGCCCACTCTCTCCCGCTCTCTTACTGATTAAGTCTCCGACTGTAAACAGTCATTGTTTTTTCTGTTGATAGTTTTCCAAACGCTTGTAACTGTAGCTGTCTTCTGGGTTGTTGCGCCATGTACTCTGTTGGAGTTTTCGACGTTTCAAACGTGTTTGCGGCCTCCATCATCAGGGCGATTAGCCCTAATAAAGGAGGCAGCAAGAACCTTTGAAACGTCGGTAAACGTCTACAGACTACACGGCGCAAAAACCCACAAGACAGAAATCTTTATGCTCGCCGTCTTGAGGACTTCAAACCTCATCTTAAAACTACTGTGTTGTTCTTCTGGGTTTTGTGCCGCGTAAACTATTCGGCGCCAAAAACCCAGAACATCGTGTTCGTCCTCACCGCTGTGAAAATATTAAATCTCACATTTGAAACTAATTAATAAATTCAATATTACATCACAATTTTAAACTTTATTGGTGCGAGTCCTAGCTATTCAGCGTCGCGTTTGTGAACTTATCCATGATATCGTCAAGATTTAAAAATGTGATCAAGGTTTGACAAGTAGCTTCCGGTTTACGGAGAATTAACCAAGATAACCTCAGCGCCAGCAGCCACCATTCACCGTTTGTTTGGGATTTATAGCTAACAAGCCCTGAAATATAGTTTAAACTCAGGCAATGGTGTTATTTTATACAGAAATAAAACAAATGTGGATTAGGGATAAAGTCGACGAACCATAAGGATGTTTGGCAGTAAATAAGGCGTTTAACCCCCATTCGAGGTCTGGAAATGCCAAATGGGCTTAGTGCCAAATGCTCAAAAATGATTTACTGCGTAATTAATGCCTTAGCCAACAGTGAGCACAACGATTCGTAAACTAGTAAAATGGAAATACAGACTCTGGAACGTATCTGCTAATAAACTTGGCTATAGGTCATTCAGCTTTCAATATACAGAATGGTTATAAAAGAATTACTATTGCTAATGATCATTACGAAATTTATACTACAATTACGTACACCTTTGGTCAAGAATTTAGAATTTAACTGTTCAATTGCACATAAAGAAAAATATATTGGTCCTCGACTACTTGATATTCTTATTTGTGGTTTATTTAACGACGCTGTCAGTAAGTCAGACTTATAGTTTATAGAGAAAACAACAGGAAAGGAATCTCCAGAGTATCATAATTATATTCTTCGTAAAGAACTACCCCATCGTTTTAAGTAAACAAATACATGATTCTACTGTTAACAGCATAATTTCAAAACTCCTTGACAGCAGACATATCTTATCACAACAAAATCCATTCTTGCTGTGCCAACTTTGAACAATTCCCTGAATGTACCTGTAAATTTCCGACACATTCACGCCGTAGCTATAGGAACCGCATCGCGCACGCTATAACGCGAAGCAAATTCCAGAAATATGATCAATTCAATTTCAAGAAGGAAATACGATATGGCTACAGCCTGACAGGCAACTCTTGAGTTGGGCCAGATGTTAGAAACCACCTCTCTTTCTCGCTCGCTCTCTCTCTCTCTGCAAATTCATTATTTAAGAGGATGCTGTCCTGCACGGGGCACCAATTTGCTTATACTGATGGTAGCTTAGCCCAAGAAGCGCAATTGTTGAGGCCGCTTAAACACCGATATCACGATATAGAATTTGATGTTTACACGGCGGTGAGTCTGTACATGGCTGTCTTCTGGGTTGTTGTTCCATGTAGTCTGGTAGAGGTTTACCGAAGTTTCAGAGGTCCGTGAAGCCTCCATCATCAGGACTGTCGGAAGGGGGGGCCGCGTCGAATGTTGAGATTTTTTTCAACGTTTCGACAAACAATGAAGTTGCCATCTTCAGGGCGAATGTTTGACCAATCATCGACAAGGGTGTGAAAATAAGCGGTCGGACGTCTTTTAACAAAATCACAAACGTAGTGAGACATACCCAGGAACATCCGCTTTGTGGTGTCTGCTGCAATTACGTTACCGTTCTCGGTCATGTGGAAACATGATCCAGGTATGAAGATTTCTGTCTTCTGGGTCATCAGGACGATTCATCGCCCTGATGACGGAGGCAGTATGACCTCAGAAATGTTGGTAAACATCGACCAGACTACACAGCGCAACAACCCAGAAGACAGAAATCTTCATACTCACCGCTGTGAAAACCTCAAATCTTACATGATCCCAGTACTTTAAAGAAATCAGAAAGGGAAGCCAAAAGAAACAATTCTCCAGACATAGCTTGAATCTCAATTTATGTCGAAATGGAAGATGAACTGTTTCTTCGGTGGAGACGCCTGATCGGAATAAAACCCACGCGTAATAGATTCACTTGCACCATCCACGGAATAAGCAAACGAGACCGACGAGGCAGAGGAGAACCGAAGTGCCCAGATTCATCTGAGGACAGTGCACGATACTCAGTCCATCAGATTCCATAGTAAGTGAACTTGCAGGTTCTCAAGACAGCGAGTATAAGATGTCTTCTGGGATGTTCCGC